CTGCCGCCGCCGCCACCGCCGCCGCCGCCGTCGCCGCCGCCGTCGTCGTCGTCGCCACCGCTGTCGCCGCGTCGCCCGCGTCAGACGTGCCGCCGAATCGTCATTCTCCGGATGATCGGGGAGGGCAATCGTGAACCCGCGACCTTTCGGATCGCGGCGGATCACCCGCGATAGCGGCCCACCGCTGGCCTAAGCCGTCCGCCGCGCGGCAGCTCCCAATCCGCAGGATCGCCAATCCGCGGATCCAGCGGTTTACCTCCCTTCCGACCCCTTCGTTTCGTCCGGAGGTGTACACTCGGACTGGCCGACCACTTGGCACGTCGCCGTGGCGCTTCCCTCGAGTTTCTATCACGTTCACCACTACCGCACGTCAACCCGCGCGGACTCGTGCATGCGTCTTCATATCGAGCTCAGGGTCGCGGCCTCGCCGGACAGCTCGCGTTCCTCGTCCCGTCACGTCGCGCCTCACCTCGCTACGTCTCACCGCGCCTCACCTTGCCGCGCCAGGCCTCGCCTCGGTTCGCCTCGCCTTGCCTCGTCTCACCTCACCTCGTCTCGCCTCGCTTCGCGTCAGCAGCAGTCGCGGCGTGCGTAATCCTCTATCGCGCTGCCACCACTATCGCCCGCCGTCGCCACCGCCACCACCGCAATCACCACCACTACTCCCGACGCCGCCGCCGTCGCCGCTGCGTCCTCGTCGTTATCGTCGCGTCTCGTCGCGTTTCCTCGCGATACGCGTTTCCACGCGGACCAGCCGCGGGTCATACTGTCAGCGGAACATTCGCGGATGCGCCGTCCGCGCGACGACGACGACGTGCGCGTCCGTTCCTTGCGCCGGGAAACGACCGAGATTCGTTCCCCGAATTCGGAGCAGACGAGAGTTGGTAGATGATCGCGCGCGCGCGCGCGCGCGCCGCGCGCCGCCAAGTCTGACGTGGTGACGTCACGCGCACGTGCGTCACCGCTCAGTGCCGCCAACGGGTAACGATCACGTCGCGCAAGTATTCAGATGTGGAGCACGCGCTCGGATAACGGCTCCCGTGAGCGTGCGACAACTTCGCGGCGTGTGACGTGACGTCGTTGCGCACGCGTAGGAAAATCCCGCTTTGTTTAGGTGTTTACATTCTTTTTTTTTTATAATTTTTTCTTCGGAAAAGAGGATTAAAATGCGTTCACTTCTTCCTTGGATTGTATAGCACTTTAGGATTATGTTCCCTATTTGTTAGATTTGTGATCGTTGACAACGATCGCGTTAATTTTGTTCGGTTCATCGTCGACGAGATCGATCGAAGAATCGGAATTAAAAATTCAATAGGCTGGAGAAAAATCGAAAAATGGTTTACACTAAGGAGCACAAGTGTATACTGCAGGCTGTTATGCACGAAGGTGCTTTACATGAGGATGAAATAAGAGAATTGGTTATTAGGTTATTTGGTAAGCTTCACAAATAAATGAACTAGAAAAAGTAAAGTTTCTATATATGATAAATAAATACATGGGAAACAGATTGAATTTTGGATTATCAAAAAATTTTAGATCACAATAATATAAAGAAAGTATTAAGCGAGATAAATGCAAAGTTACAGCCATTGTACATGACCATAAAATGTACAACCTGTGAAATTACCGGTCAATCGTATTGGATTTTTACAAGTACGATACAAGACAAAACTGCCAGGTAATGCCTATCTTAAATCTCAGTAGTTATTAAAATATTTACTGTCAACTAAGCATTTGTAAGCATTTGTCACCAGACTTATACTTAATGTGTGTTGTTCTTTAGTTTCCATCCTGAATTCTCACAAGCAGAACTGGCTCTCTTGCGCAATGTATATTCTGAAATTGTTACTTCAAACAATGGTTGTATCTCGAGTACATTCTGCTTAAACTTATGTTCATCATTAAATATGAAACTGACAAAAGCTGACGCTGATAAGTTTTTACATGAAATGGTCAACAGAAAATGGTTGTACTGCAAGGTATTGCAAATTTTTATGTAGCATAATTCCAATAGTATGCTCTTGAAGGAAAATATTTGATTATAAAAATGTGCATTTTCCAGGATGGCAAATACTACATGGGAGTAAGGAGCATTGCGGAGCTACTGCAGTATTTTAAAGATACCTATGAGGACAATATTCAAATTTGTACTCTATGCAAGCAGGAACTTTTTTATGTAATATTATCACGATTATAAAACGTAATATTTCAATTTGCAACATGGATTGACTTTATTATCTTTTACAGGGGGAGAAATGTAATAAATGTAATACTATAACACACATTTACTGCTTGGAAAATTACTCAAGAAATCGTGGTGTAGGATGTCCCAATTGTCATCATCTTATGCCAGGGCAAGCTCATTCTAGTAATTTCTGCTTTTTAATCTTTTTATGTTCAGTATTTTTAAATTCTTCTTTAAATATATTTTTTATAAAATTTAAAAAATTATAGGTGACGATAGTGATTGTGTCATGGAAATCGATGCGTCATAGAAAAAAACAAATGAGATAACAATTTAACCAAACTAAAAGAAAACATGAGAAAGGATGGAAGTACCACATTGAATTCATTGTAAAAGAGTTTGGATAATGAGATACATATTGTAAACTAAAAGATTATGCCCGTTTATTTTTATACAAAATTAAATTATTATACATATGTACAATAAAAGTTATGATACTATAAAAAATCTATTATGTCTATTTACTATGACTTGCCTCGAACTTTTCTCTTAAATATTTGAGACCAGCCATAATATTATCCTCGTCCATACTTCGTGGTAACGATTTTTGCTTGCTCGTATGACTTGAATTATTGATAGCTGAAGATGAAGCATTATTCTCATCAGGAAGAGGAATGTTCATGTGATCCATTTGTTTTTGTTGCTCGTATGTATGTGTTCCAAGATAGCCGCACGCATTTTGTTGATAATTGTTGGATAAATGAGATAATGGATATGAAACTGTTGCTTGCATTTGAGATGGATTAGTCACAGTAGAATTTAATGTTGGTCCTATTATAGTTTCATTGCTATTATTGACTGCATCATTGCATCCTATTAAACTGCTTGTATCATTCTGATTGTCGCAATCAGTATCTTTTATAATGGAAGCTACCTGGAAGCCTATATCATTACTATCATCATGATTCTGTAACTTGCCATTAGATTCCTCAATAGATTTCGAAGAATTATGAGTCTCTGTATCATCCAGCTCTTTGTTTTCTTTAGGAATTGAACGCGCATCAATGTCCTGAGAACTATTATAAAATCCAGCACTCGTAAAATTATCATACACTGGCCCAAATTCACTAATCCTTTGTGCTCTACATTTATCTACCCATTCTTCTTGCGACATTACATGCCAATGATTCTTTTTACCCAAAAGTTCTCCAAAGGCTCTTATCTTGTCCTCATCACTGATTTCGTTTTCTTGAGTAATTTCCTTGCCACACGTAGATATATGATCAGTTTCCTCGTTAGATTTTTCTTTATCTTTTTCAGCGGACCCGTTATCTTTATCAGTGTCAATATTAGTAGAATTAATTGGCTTATTTTCTCGGATTAATTCTTCCTCAGTAGGCTCCGCTGATAAACCTGCTCTTATACGTTGTCTAATTCTCGCTGCCTTTAATCTATTCTGTTCCATTCTTTCCTTTAATTCCTTGATCTCTTTCATTTCCCTCTGCTTCCTCTCAGTTTCTTTTCTCAAGTTCGCCAGATTCTCCTGTTGCTTTGTTCTCTCCTCTTCGTCTTGCGAGAATGCATAGTAACCAACGCCGTGCGTTCGCGCTTCGTCAAACAATATGTCTTGATAGTGTATATCAACTTTGTCTGCAAGTTTTTGCGTTTGTTCCTCCCATTTTCTTCTCATAATCTCTATCTCAGGTTCTTTCTCTTGAGTAGTATATTGTTCTTTATCTTTCTCTTCTTTATCTTCGTCGATATGCCTCTTCATTATTTCCTGCTTTATCAATTCATCTTTCTTTTGCATGTGCGGTAAATCCTCTCGCAAACATTTTCTAGTACGGCCAAAACAATCTTGATACTCTACCCAATTTTCTTCTGACTCTATAGGATGTTCCTCATTAATTGTTTCATCTATGAATTCTTCATCAGATTCATTCAGTTTGTTTTCAAAATCAACGAGAAATTTATCGTTATTATTTTTTGATTTCTTCAATCTGTCATATAATCTCGCTTTAGCTTCCAACATTAACTTTGACTTTTTGTGAGCAACAATATCTTCGGAATCCAATGGTCTCTTAATATTTTTTTCCTCATCTGGAATAATTTTCTTGGTCTTTTTTTGTTTAATTGTGGCTGAACATTTACAGACTCAGTTTTTAATTTAGCCTCGTTGACTTCAGCTTGCTTCCGCAACAATTCTGCTTTTAAGCCCACCAGAGATGAAAAGTTAACATTTATCTTCTTTGTCATATTCATTATTGGAGTATTATAAATTTAAATTAGTATCTCAACAATTATGAAGTACTCTTTGGAAATCAAGCTAATGAACAGCTCTCCACAAAGATTTATAAAACATTGGCAAATCAATGATCAAAGGAAATTACTCTCCTTCCTAAAAGCAAATTAGCAGATTGAATTAATCAAGAATTAATTCATCAAGTAATATCTACTATTTTATAGCATATAGTAATTTAAGAAATATATTAATTTTTTGTTGTACAACATATAGAAAAAAAGATTGACTCAGGAAATTAGATTGTTTGTTTCAAATAATTCTGCTGGATAAATTAATTGTCAATGAAGTTAATCACAATCTGGTCTTAATATAGCTCTTATTTGTTCAACAATCAATAACTACTTACTACAATAAATCACGATTATGATTATTTCAATTAAACGAATATGTTTTATAACATTTTACAAATAATAAAAAATTTAAATATTTGTAAAGACGATTTCTTAGAATTGACGGGCGGTTTTGAGGTTATGTTGTGTTCATTTATGCGTACCTGTCCATAGGATACGCATAACGTAGATTTACTAATTCATGAGAGTAATGGCATAAATTTACATGATAACAAATGTTACATTATCTTGAAAAATCAATACTAACAATGTCTAGACAAGAAAATCGTGTAAAAAAACAGTCGTACACACTTTACACAGATAAAGGTGAATGTGTGAATGATGATGAATGATAACCTCGATCAAATTTCAATTAATTTTTTCAATAATAATTCTGTGAAGACATTATATAGACATTATATTCTATGAAGACATAAACAATCATTCATTTTTTTTATCCAACATGTGAAAAAAAGATTCGGGAAAAATAAAATTACACAATTAGAAATTTTGCTTTAAGAGAAACAATTCAATAGAATAAAAATATTTGGATATCGTTCACTATCTTCTAAAATTCGAGAAATTTATTAACATAAACATGAATTTAATTATTTATTTATATAAGATCATTTCTTGTTAAGAAATCATATCGCTTATTAATTAAATTAGCGCATCAGAAAAATGGCGGATAGTATTCAATTTTTTTTTTATTCAAAAAACTTTATATATAAAATCAGTCTGGAATTTAAAGTATTAAAAAAAAAAAAAAAAAAATAACAAATTCTCATAGTTATTTCGAATATATATGGCAGACCAATCAAAAGTTGTACAACGGTGTGTCCAAATTTTCATCAGAGGAACTCCGGAACAAACGAGAAGCGGCCATCTTGTCCGGCGCGCGTCTGAACTTTCGAAAGTCACGTGACACGTTTGAAAAGTCGTAGTCGCACGTCCGCGACATCCTCAAAATCTTTCCTTCTCGTCCCGCCGTATTCGTCAAGGAGCGTCGGCGACGTTCGCGAATGCGTCGGTCACGCCAGGTTCGATCGTAATTCGAATCCCCGGACCGCCCGACTTTCAAGCCGGAGGGATTCCGTGCGGCGCCTAAAGTTAGATCGCCGGTTAGAACCAGGGCTGTGGAGGGGCGAAGTGAAGCGAGGAAGGAAGAAGAGGAAGTTGGGTGTACCTCGTGTGAACTGCCGAAGACGTCCAATAGAAGAAGAAGAGCAGAAGGGGAGAAGGAAGACGGGAAGTCCTCGTGACCGCTGCGATTCGGCGACGGTTATCAATCTGTAAGATCGATTCTCGATTACCGGAGGATTGCTCGTGGCATATCGAGGGCGCAATAGCGCCGGCCGTTGTCGACGTAGCGTCGTGTCCTTCGGGAGCAGAGAGCCTCAGAAGACGCAGGAACGCGAAAACAGAGCAGATTGGTGCGCGCGCGAATTTGGCGGTGAGTAGAGCCTAAGAGAGAGAGAGAGAGAGAGAGAGAAAAAGAAAGAAAGAAAGAATTCAGTTGTGCCTCGTGGCTGCTCGTTTCACAGCTCACTAGCCTTCGTGACGGTTATAGTGCACGCGGTCCAGCAACAGTTTGCGATATAGCGACATCGGCGAGCCAGCGAGAGCTAAATGGCACCGCGCAGACAGGCGAAGCAGGCGGAGAGCGTCGTGGCTGCCGCCGACGGCAACGTGACGCCGCCGAAGAAAAGGAAAACTGCGGCGAAATCGGAGGTAACGGATGAGCCGAAGCAGGCCAGGGTCGCGGGGAATCGGCAAACGAAGGCGGACAATCAAGAGCATGAAATGGCTAGCGAGTCGACGAGTTCGTCGAGGGAGTTACGCCGTAGGCCCGCGGCCACGGTGGCGCCAAAGGACATTGTCACCGCTGCCGTGAAGAGCAAGTCCAAGAAACAAGTCAATAAACAACAGGAAGATGAGACGATTGAAAATAATAATACGAGCGAGAAGGTCGCAGTAAAAAAAAAGACGCGCGATAGTAAGGCCGCGGCGGCGAAAAAGGCGGGAACCAAGACGGCTGCAGCAAAGTCAAAGTCTAAATCACCTGCTAGAAAACAGAAGGCTGCAGTTGAAAACGGCGCTGGAGATCCCGAAGAAAAGAACATTGGAAAGAGTCCTGCAAAGAAACGAACAGCAAAAAAGCCTCATCGTCTCGTCAAGGTGCTAGAGCAGGGCGATGCGTCATCACAACCCGCCACAAAGACGTCCAGGAAACGTAAAAATGTAGAGGATACAAATGAAGCTGTCACAGAGTCTGGAAATATTGGGGAAATCATCATTGAGGAGGAGGAAGAAAAAGAAGAGGAGAATAAAGCAAAGACAGTCGCAGCCAGCAAGAAATCGCGTACAGCAAAGAAAGCAGAAACTGATGCCCGTAAGCTGCTCTTGAAACTTTCATTTCATTAAATTTGTCTGAATATTTTATCAGTCATACAAGTTGGTAAACGTTGAGAGAACAGAGAATTTTCGTTTAAGAAAAGTTGTAATTTTTTAAACGGGATTTCTCAAAGAATTTTGACTGATAGAACATTCAGGCATCTTTCAGAATTTAAATCTATATTAAATAATGGACAAATTTATAAAGTTTATAATTATCAATGTATACATATTGGAGTTTTTAATTTAGAATGTTTCATTGAATTAAATATTATAAATATAGAAATTTATATTTTTCCAATTGTTCCAATCTTTCCAATATTTTGGTATTATTTACATTACATTTATTTTATTCAAGTTTTTGTCTGTATTATCTGGACATTATTACGTCATTCAACTTTCTGCTATCTTCAGCCAAGGCAACATCCAAAGGAAAATCCAAGAAGAATACTGCTAAATCATCTCCAGAAGAGACAGTAACCGAGGAACAGAATGTAACGCAGCAGGAAGATAATCCAAAATCAAAAAATATCAGGACTGCAAAAAAGGGGAATACGAAGACAACTTCCAGAGGAAAACGTAATCCTGTAGCAGAAAAGGCAAATGATGATCAAGCACAGGAAGCAGCAATGCCTGAAGTGGATATCAAAGAAAATGGAGAGACACAGGCAGTAGAGCTTAAACAAAAGAAGAAAAACGCGGGAAAAGTAATGAATGGCAAAACTGAAACAAAAGGAAAACAGAAGAAAGGAAAAGCAGCTGCTGTAGCTGTCGATGAGTTAATCAAGGATGAAACTGTTGAAAAGGAAAATACAGAAACGAAAGAAGACGAGGATTATATATTAAATATTCCCTCGAGCACAAATGATGGCATCTCACAGAATAAGGAAGTAGGAGATGAAATTGATGAGAGTATATTCTCGATACAAAATGATGAAACGCTCAAGTTGCAAAAAGATGAAGAAATGGATAGATCAGAAACCTCTTCGTGCTTTTAAAAAAAAAAGTTATTAAGGGATACAATGGCAAGTTAGAAATTAAAGAGAAGTATCAATAATGTTTTATATTCGACTAATAGATACATAAAAAACGGGCTAGGAGAGGGAGGAATGTTTTAATATATTTATCATAATATTTTGCAACAAGAACGATCAAGTCTTAAGTTCCTAATTCAACACTGTAGTCTCTATCTGAGGCAACAATGTTGAATTGGAAATCTTAATTCTGAGGATATTTATTTTTTTTCTTTTTTGTTAGGGAAGAAACGAAAAATATACCCTACACACAAAAGTTCACATCGTCGTTTGCATTATTGTATAATGGCTTCGTAATGGGTATAACAAAATGATATCCGAAAAAATATTTCAAACGAAACATATTTTCTGAAAGGTGTTTTTTATCAGGAACGTTTAATATCGGATTCTCAGCTGTACATCAATGACGTACACGTAGTGCCATAATAAGAAAGTTTGATAGGATTCGTACGGAATTCTTGATTTCTGCTCGGGCAGCATCTGCTAAAATCTAAGAAGTAAAATTTACTATTATATATAAATAAATATTTATATGTATAATAATAAGAGTACTAATGATAATAATTGATAGCAATTAATATTATAATGTACATTGTGCTATGACAAATTTTAGTATCTTGGATGAAAACGCAGGCAATAAGAAGATAAACATCTTTCTACTGCTGCCCGTGTAGGAGTTAAGTGCGTTATATATTTTTCTAAAAGAATAAATAATACTTGTAATACATAGACACATACTCATCATTTCCGTTCTCTAGTCCTGTAGTTTTATATTTATATCTTGTTAACGCAGTTAATTACAATAATCTTTAACACATCTTTAAAAATATTGAGTTACCGGTTTCAAACTTACAGGCTATAAGGAAACTTTGATGTCGAACGGATTTTTTGGATGTTCCTTTTTTTTATTCGCAGAGACTACAATGCTTAAATTCTTGAGACTAATTAATAAAATGTACATTTTTTAGGGAAGACTACATAATTCTGGATAAATTTTCACATTCGTTTGCATTTTGATTAATGCAAGATGAGAAAATATTCAGATATCAAATAATGACATACAAATTGACATAAAAAGTTCAGGAAATTTTCTATGCTTACGAAAGATAGAGTGACCAGCTGTCTATATGATAAAACATTGTAACATTACAAGCGTTCTGTTCAATAATATCATGTATGAGTAATGCATTTATTTATGGATATTTCATTGAGACATTTAACAACATGCGAAGTACATGTATTTGTTTCTATAATGTTAATATTCCATATTATATAATCACCTTTGACAGTGAGCATATTTTTTTTCCTATAATAGAGTAAATCAATTTTGTGTTAATATATGATTTTTTTGTCTTCTACATATCCAACTGTTCATCAATATTTTATAATAAAAGGAGTGATGAAAGGGTTTATAATCAGGATTTTTAATTTTCTCTACTTTACCTATCTTTGTATATAATTCAATCACATGAGCCATTATTACCATGAGTTTCAAAAATTTTTAAGGAAGGCAAATTTCACTTTATTGTCCTCTTCTAAATTTTTTACTTGTAATAAGTCCCAGATTGAAGGGCCAGGGCCAAGGAAAAAGAAATAGAAATTGATGTAGGTCAAAAAGTGAGATAGTTTATATCTTTTTCATTCGCAGAATTTTGATAAAGGTAGAATGACACAGCAGTAATAGTATACTTCCTTTTGACGTAACCTGACGAAACATCATGATGGAAGATCATTTTTGTGTCTCTGGCTGTGTTGCAAAATCATTGCCAGCGCTGCAAGTATGTCATCATAAAAACGCATACGGATTTCAAATTAAAATGATCTTAAAAGGTCTTAAATATCACAATTTATGAACCAAGAATTTAGTAAATGGCCATCTCGGAAATACAGGAGCTCTTTTTTTATCATTTTTCGAGTCATACTCGAAAAATTGCGAGATCTGAGTTTTCTAAGGCCCTAGTTGCACTAACGTTATTCTGCTTTAATCGAAATTCAAACATGTATCTGTATTCATCTTTTTTTTTTTCTAAATAAAGATACATATTTAACAAGTCTCGTTTAAAGCCAAAGTAACGTTGGTGCAATCGGCACATAGAATGAGGGCCGAGCTGGGACTTTATCTAAAGACTCTAATGACTTTGATTAAAAAATATGGACTGCTAGTGCTAACTTCACATAAAATAAAATGTATCGCGATATCAACGACTGATATTAATGTGATTACCGGAATTTATTTTTTATTAATTTTTACGGTGTATTTTACCATATTACAGTAGCAAATGTGTTTTGTGAATTAATAACAATTGTATAAAATAATTAAATGTTATTTTGCAGAAGGCTGTAAATTAACAAAATACAAAAAATATGATGAAAATCATAAATGTAACATTTTATGGGTAAGCAATTATAGGGATATTTATTTTGTCTTTTTTCGATATAGCTTCAGTCAGAAGCAAAATAACTTTTATGTCGATTTGTATTTCTTGTTGGAAAACTTTTATATAGTCTATTCTAATCTAAGACACCTCATTTGTTGTTAAATTGTAACAAAATTAAAATCTAAAAATATAAATATGCATATTATAAATGATAAATTTTGAAAAATTTAAAATTACACAAATAATTACATACATGATTTTTAAAAATTTCGAAGTATGTTTTAAATGAGATATATTAAAAAATCATAAGTGAGCAATATAATTAATTATATTAAAATATTTATAAGTATAATTAAAATATGAGGGAAATCTTTATGAAAGAACATAATGATATTGTTAAATATATCTGTACAAAGATTATTTTTTTTTAAGGATCACTAGATTATGAACAGAAAAATGATGAAAGAAGCCTAAAAATTAGTTGAACTTAATCAGTCTCTTGTGATTGGTCTACTAGACATTGGCAGCCACAGTTGACAGTCGAGTCGGCTTCCAGAATTGGTAGTCTGATACAGGCTTAAGGCCTGTTCTACAATGCGTCGTGGGCCGCAAGAGTGGGCCAATCACAATCAAGTATTCTTTCCACATTTGTCTGTGATTGGTTAATTCTTGTGGCTCGCGGCTTGCGACACCGACATGCGACGCATTGTAGAACGAGCCTAATAGATACGTTCGCGTGCATGAAAACTAGTCTTGCGCTTCTTCCAATAACTCACGGAGACATTAAAAGTGTGCCGAGCGTGATCGCATCAGATCGTATATACAGAGAAACAAGGGTAACCCACGAGGATGGCGGCGATCAGTCTATTAAATCCGAAGGCCGAATTCGCCCGGGCGGCGCAGGCGTTAGCAGTAAATATCTCCGCCGCGAAGGGAATCCAGGATGTGATGAGGACCAACCTGGGACCCAAGGGAACCATGAAAATGTACGTAACCGCGTGTTCGCATGTCTCACGGCCTCGTCACGGCCGTTTATGCTGATTCCTCACACGCACCTCGAGCTCCAAATAGAATAGTCAAAAGATCCTCCGTCGGCCGCCCTCCAATCTTCGATCAATCTTCGATTCGTCAAAATCCCGTAAAATGACATGATATGCCGACGTCGCGATATTTTCCTTATAAGGAAGTGACTTACGAACTGCCGGTACAGGAGAGGCGTTGACGTTGACGTCTCACGAATGTCATTTTTCACATTTTTCAATGTATCCTTCTTTTCGTACTCTGCGTATGAACAGTTTATTTCCTTCGGTCAATTCTCGACTTGTGACTTCTGCGCAAAAGATATATATTAGCTGATATTTATTGTGACAGTTCATATTAAGATTTGGAGTGAAGTGAAAATATTTGTAACGGATTGATCTCAAATTAATTGAACTTCCAGGCTGGTTTCTGGAGCGGGAGATATAAAGATCACCAAGGATGGCAATGTGCTTCTTCATGAAATGCAGATCCAACATCCCACAGCATCCCTGATAGCTAGAGCATCTACCGCTCAAGATGACATGACTGGTGACGGCACAACCAGTACTGTGCTGGTCATTGGTGAACTCTTAAAGCAAGCTGACTTGTATATAGCCGAAGGACTGCATCCCAGAATGCTCACAGATGGCTTTGACTTGGCTCGTGCTAAGGCATTAGAGATTCTGGATTCGATGAAAATTCCAATTGAATCTATCAAACAGAGTCTGTTGGATGTAGCAAGAACCTCGCTTAGAACCAAGGTTCACCATACTGTGGCTGATAAGTTAACCGAGATCTGTGTAGATGCTGTACTGGCTATCAGACAGCAAGACAAAGAAATCGATCTGCACATGGTTGAGTTAATGGAGATGCAGCATAGAACAGCCGATGATACCACCCTGATTCGTGGTATAGTTACTGACCATGGAGCTAGGCATCCGGATATGCCAAAAAGGCTGGAGAATGCATATATTCTGATCTGCAACGTGAGCTTGGAATATGAAAAAAGTGAGGTATGTGCTTAATGATATAAAAGATTAGTTAATATAATGCAATCAATAAATTTATGGATCCTCATTTTATAGGTAAACAGTGGATTCTTTTACAAATCCGCAGAAGAACGTGAAAAATTAGTGGCTGCCGAACGCGTGTTCATCGATAATCGCGTGAAAAAGATTATCGAATTGAAAAAGAAGTTGTGTGATGAAACGGATAAATCATTCGTTGTGATAAATCAAAAGGGAATCGATCCGCCATCTCTCGATATGTTCGCAAAAGAGAACATTATTGCTCTACGTAGAGCCAAACGCAGAAACATGGAGCGCTTAGCGCTCGCATGTGGTGGCGTAGCTATGAATTCTGTAGATGATCTGAAGGAAGAACATCTAGGATGGGCTGGCCTTGTGTACGAACATGTTCTGGTAAATTTCGAAAGCTTCTACACTTGCCATTAAATAGAAAATGTTATTTTTTTATAACTATTGATTTATTTTCTAGGGAGAAACAAAATACACTTTTATAGAGGAGTGCAAAAAGCCAAATTCTGTAACAATTTTATTGAAGGTAATGCAAATGTACTGACGACTTGTGCTGAATTTTATTAATATATCAATATTCTAGGGACCTAACAAATTTACATTGGAGCAACTCAAAGATGCTGTGCGTGATGGACTTAGAGCGATAAAGAATGCTATCGAGGATCGTGCAGTCATTCCTGGAGCTGGCGCCTTCGAGGTCACAGTTAGTCAAGCTCTTCAACGATACAAAGAGGAAGTGAAAGGAAAACAACGTTTAGGAGTACAAGCCTATGCCGATGCTTTACTTATCATTCCGAAGACTCTCGGTAAGTATAAAACTTAATAATTTTATTATACGATTAACATTATCGTCACTGATCTCTTTTGTTTTTAGCTATTAATAGTGGATTCGACGCGCAAGATACAATCGTAAAATTATTTGAGGAGAGCACCGTTTTAGGAGAACCAGTAGGATTGGATCTATCTACAGGAGAAGCTCTAAAACCCGCGGATGCTGGCATTTACGACAATTATAACGTAAAGAAACAGATTATCAATTCCTGGTAAGATGTTGCTATCAAAATTATCCTATAAATATTGATAATTTGTAATAGTTTTAATTTTTCACGGACATATTTTTAATTTTCAGCACGATAATCGCTAGTAATCTTCTTCTGGTTGACGAAATAATGAGAGCAGGATTATCTTCATTAAAGGGTTAAATTATAATGCAACTCTTATGCAAAAATAAAGTTTAAGGATCACTAATATTTTTTTTACAAAATAATTCAAACTGTTAAATTATCACCCATTTTGCATTTTTATCTTTCAATTAAATGCTTGGGCCTTTAATTTTAATATAAATATTTAGTAACACAATAATGAACTTTTTCACGTTGGTTTTAATAAAATAATGCTTTCATAATAAGTATTATATTTACTTACAAAATACAGATAACGTCACAAAATTAAGCTGAACATACAAAATATCTTTGAAAGTATAAAAAAAATTCATAGATAAGGTGAACATTCAATATATTTATCTATATTTTCAAAACAAAAGAAAGAGAATAAATTAGTGAAGGTAGACAAAAAAATACAAGTCATCCTGTGGATTAAAGTATACTGATCTTTCTGTTTTTTACATTGAAAAGTAGTTTTTAATTTAAGCTTATTGTTCACATACTGATCAATTTATAAAAATCAAAAATATTTATTTGCGATATGGTACATATATTTACAGGTCTCTAAAAACTACTACAGTATCATATAATAGGATGTATCTCAGTCTTGTATTTTCACAGAATCTTACTGTTTTCCATCGCATTAAAATCAATGATTTGATAAAAAAGAATCTATATGATTAAAAACTGCAATGTGACATGGTAGTTAAATTCTAATCTGTATTATATCTGTATATTTGAATGTGTAGTACGGATTTAATTACTAAAAACTGCGTATAATTCTAAAAATATTCAACTTTTTTTGTTTCATAAAAATAAGTAAAATAATATTAAAATATTTACATAGAACGAAAAGCAGTATGTAACATCTCGTATTCTTACTTCCTTTGATATTAAATGGCCTTTCTGAACGAGTTATTATTCTGAATAATGTAAATACTGAGTAATGCAAATTGGTTAACTTAATTGTGATTTTATGAAAGGTATTAAAAATAGTTTTATTTGACTATTCGGCAATTATCATGTAAATCTGTGATGCAGTTACGTGTAACAATAATTCAAGATTTCACAACAGTCAACCCTTTCGTATATAAAAGTATCACATCAAACATGTATTCGAGACATTTTAAGTTAAAACTACGCTTTTAGATTGTACTAATTGTTTCAATCTTCTTTTCTAATGTACAGTTGTCGCATCTCCACTTTCAATATTTACACATCATTTTGTAAAACAAAAAAGTTCGAAGCACAGAAATACAAGTGATGTTAACATAAATCACTTTTTAATACTAATTAAAAAAAAAAACTTAGTATTTTTGTCTTCTATCATCATAAATAAGTTTCATGTAAATTATAATTGAAGTTTTCTTGCAATTTTACTTACGTGCTAGTTTTTACAGTGATTCGTGTAATTATCCTTAATGAAAAAAAAAAAATCTTAATTTCGTTGACACGAAAATTATATCTCTTATGCAAGGATGATTATCGTAATATTAATTCAAGCTTGACAGGATCGCGGCATATTTAGGATTTTTTCTAATGTCTTTCAACAGTACTCTCGGCTTGATATTGATCAACGTTGCGAGAGTAAGACAATTTACCCTCATATTGTGACCGCCGACCACCATGTACGTGTTCAACGCGGCCAGATTAACCGGACTGCTCGGTATTCTATAATGCGAGACCGGTTGATTATTACTCTCTGCTACTTTTTCGTCCTCGGAGTCCGTATCTGTGTCCATGCTGTAAGATTCTAGCGAGCGCGGCGTAAAAACACTTGGCGGATACCTCGGATTTGTGGATTTACGCGCAACTGCCTTGAATATGCGTGGGCCTGGTCTCGCATATGAAATAACTGATTTGGTAGTGGATTTCCTCGCGACATTCCGACGTCTATTGCCTCCCAATGTAGCGCTGAAAATACGGCTCTGATCGTCCTCGATCTTTGTGTCACCAAGATCATTCTGTGTGACATGTATAGCAATCAGATTCTCTACGACTGATTCAAAGTTCGAAATGTTCTCCTTTGTTGCTTTGAGACTTGGATGCTTTTCGGAGCTGTATGTGGACAACGACGTGATGGGTATCGACGTGCTAAAATATAGATTCCGTGTGCTTGATTATTTAGGAGTCTCCTGATGGAAGTGACAATGTACGAGCAAGCAAACCCTTACCCTTTTGGTTGATCCTGTTCCTTCTGTTGTTGCTGCTGTTCCTGCCATTCCCGCCGTTTAAAGTTTTGCGGCAGATGCGAGTGATACATATTTTGATGAGTTATCCTATCATTATCGGTCTCGCAGAAATCATTACACCACTGGCAAAGCCATCCGTACCGTTGAATGACAGGCGACGAGTTCTCCGTTTTTTTCGTGAGATCACGGAGCGACTCGACGATATCCTTCTTTATGGGATTTATTGGTTGCATCTTCTGTACAGGTATTTCCTTATATCTAAATGGAAACTTCGTGCTCGAACCCCCCGTCTCCGAACTCTTTGCCTCCTTGTGCATAAGATTCCAGTGTTGTTTGATGGACTGCAATGAAATACTACGAAGATTACAATAAAAGCAGCCATAAATGATAGTTGATGTTAGCTCCTGTTCCTCGTTCTTCAACGTCGCGTCGATATTCTTATGCATCGATGGACTGTTCTTCATCTCATCGGAGGAGGAGCTGGCCGTCGACGACAGTTCCTTGTACTTCAATTGCAATGAGGGATGATTCAATTCCCAATGCTCCAGCATCTCAGCCTTGAAGGAACAGCTGTAGGTGCAATACACACACTTGAGATTGTTTTTGTGAGCGGTGTGCGTCCTCATGTGACTCTTCAAGCCAGTGTGATTTACGGCCGTGAAGTTGCATATGTCACATTTTTCTCGCGTGTCCAAGCGATTGCCAATGGAAGCTGCAGTTACAGTTGAAGCTGTAGCGGCGACGATAGTGGCCGGGTTGCTATTGGCATCCGTGTTCATTTTTCGTTTCTTTGGGACAGATTTCGGGCAGATGAGACCATATTCCTTCTCCCAGAATTCGTTAGTCAGCTTCGCGTTTCCCCATGCGTCTGGATTGTGGATGATTTTTTCCGGATCTTTCGGATGTTTCGCGCGGATGTGCTGACGCATCATCGTCTCCGAATTGGTGCTGCGATCACAGTAAGGGCATAGGAAGCCAAGCCGCTTCAAATGCGAATACTGAATGTGCAACTTAAATCCGCGCTGGCGGTTGAACGTCATCTGACAATGCTTACAGACGAGCGGCTTTTCCAACTCTTCATCAATCTTGTCGCGAACTGCGTGTATAAAATCATATAAATAATCATATAAATCATATATATAATTATATTTATGTGATGATATAAACGCAAGTGAAACAGTTCCGAATCTAATACTTACGTTTTTCGTTCTCAGATTTATCGTCATTGTTTTTGTCCTCTTGCGCCTCGTCTTCTTTCATATCGATTACGAGATTTTCATCTTGGCTATCGCCATCGTCAGTGTCCATACTGTTTTTATTGGCGTCTTCGAGAAGATTATCATCGAAGACGGCAATAAAATTGGTTATTGAAGGTTCGAAGTTCGCGGTCTTTATATCAGGAACCCTAACAGGAACCTTCACGGGAGAAACATCTGGACTTGAAGAATTTGTATTGAAGGGTATTGCTACATTTTTGTGGACAGCGTTATAAGCTTTAATTAAATCTGTTTGCTTCTTTAACAAAGTTTTTACCTGCAAATATAATATTTACTTTATAATAATAAAACAAAATTTATATACAAAAAGAACCGGTAGACTTGAATGTTGCAAAAACAATTTCGGAAAAAGAGCACGAAAGTCAACGTAAGATTTTAGTGCTAAAAACGATTGTAATAAATATAAAATTGAGTGATTTGACTTAATAAAGGCTCATGTTAGGTGGAAATGTTTCCTTGTTAATCATGTTGTGGCGTAGTCGAATTATGAAAAAAATATATAATGTCTCAGCCAACAAAAGACTTCGTCTCGAATGCATCTCAAAGTTTTGAAGAGAAATTTCCAATATAAGTCTTCACAAGTCAAGTCATTCAATTTATTGGTCATTAACATTAACGATTTATATAGTATAGTATAGAAAGTATAATATAGTATAGAAAGAAATTTATATATTCTTTTTATAAAATTTTATACATTTGACGCAAAATAACTATTCTTTTGTAATTTTTGTTTCTAATTCAATTTTATATTCATTGCGTAGCACTGAGGATGACTTAATCTAAGATCGAAACGTCTGTCATATATCTTCTTTATTTTTATCTATTCTCATTTTATATTTATCATAGTTGTTTAGCACTAGGATTTTGCGTTGGCTTTTCCGCTCTTTTCCCGAATAATTTACATATATACTCTTTAAATAATAAAAGGCACATGGAAGTTTAAAAAATTTGAATAAATATATACCCAATCCTCAATCGCGTTATCCGGCGATAGTGGCTCGTGCTCTGGAAATTTTCCGTTATGACGTTTGGTAAAATGCTGCAGCAGCGCTTTGCGATTTATTGATAAATACCCGCAAGTTTTACAATGCCATCTAAACAAAATGCATAATTTCTCTTAATAATAACATTCATACAAAACAAGTTTAACTTTTGAAAGTATCATAGTGAATTAGTTATTAACAGATTCGAATAGAAATTATAATAGATTGACATCCAATTAAATTTTTATACTTTATACCTTTAAATATAACACAAAATACAAAAGAGCACAATTGAAAGGCAAATTAGCGATAGATTTCGTCTGACTTCAGACTTGCATTGCAGACCTACTTGTACACCGTTCAATATAACTTACCTTGGATAGTTCAACTCTCTATAAATATGATCTCTCATATCGTGCTTGTATTTGGTCTTGAAAGTATTACACAGCGTACAAACGTACATATTGGCGTCCGGTTTGCCGTAAGGCCCGAACCTTCCCACGTCGGAGTCGCCAGCATCGCTCAATTCAACCGTGGCTGTTTTTGAGTTTTTGGCTGATTTATTACCGTTTTCCTTCGTAACTTGTTCCTCGCCTTCCGTCTCATCGCACGAGAGCGATCGCTTCGATTTTTCTTTAGCTTGTTTATTATTATCGTCGAGAGACGTTGACTTGCCAACCAATTTTATTTTAGCTGGCTTCACCGAGATCTCAGAGTCGTTCTTGCGTTTGCTCGCAGATACCTTTGAAGCCACGGGCGTCTCGCTCGTCGCGGGTATCTCGATTTCCTCTTCCAAAAGAATCCCGCGGATATGCCGAATCCGTGGCATGCTTCTTCTCCAAAGTGGCGTCGTATCGAAGGGCTCATCCTGCCCGCTTTGTTCTACAGTTTCCGCATTGCGTTTATTGACACCTTTTATTCTCTGATACGTCATAGCATAATCGGCATTTGAATCGTACGCGTGCTTGCTGTTTATGTGTTGTTCGAGATGTATCTTTCCGCTCGTCTTGAATGAGCACAGGGTGCATTTATATTGGCAGTTCTCACTGTGAACCGTGTCAGCATGGGTGGCCACGTCGGCTTTGTAAACGCACTTAAAGTCACAAAGATTACATTTCCAATGATTGCCGTCCGGATCGGGAATCTCTTCCTCGACTTCCTCTTGGACTTGTTGTTGAATGTTTTCTGTGTTCTCGATTTCCCTTATTACCTTCACAAAAGGTCTCTTCTCTGGATGTTTATCGGTAAGATGCCGCTCCACGACGTGCCTGGATGTTATTTGACTACCATCAGAGAGCATAGAAAGTGCACTCGCGCCGATAAGAAAATCTTAAAACATCTGACAAGTATTATTTAGAAGAATTTTTATCGTGAAAAATAGCAATCTGTTTCGATTATCGAGTTACTAATAATAATAATTATTATTATTATTATAAAATTGATAATTATTATTAATCGGTAATCATGTCTAGGCATACTTGTCATATGTTTTAAATTTGTACTACATCCGCGTATATAAAATTAAAATGCTTATAAAATAACTAAAAAAATATAAATAATCACACGTTTGATGATGAAATTGTAGCACAAGTATATGCAAACCTATGATAATGATGATGATTGCAATGGGAACATTTGTAGAGTCTCGCATCGTGCATTTTTAGGTGAATGCCCATTTTATCGATCGCTATATTCTGATTCTCTTGACCCGACGGAGGGCAATGCGGACAACGGAAATATGGCTCTTCCGAATGTAGAGCCTTCAAATGATATCTCAACATTGCCTCGTCCACCGTCAGGTAATTGCATTCGGCCACGCCACATACATACCTGTTGTAAAGAAATATTGTTAGAACGATATTTCTCGATGATCTATATTTTTTTCTCATGTCTCATTTATTATGATCTCACAATCCACGATATAAACGCGTACCTTTTGTGTTCCGGTACAAACTTTGGTATACTGTCGTCCTCCTCGTTTTCTTTAACAGGTTCCTTTGGTTTGGCACCCATACGACCGTTTTGATGCGAACTGCTCGCCAGATTCACCATCTTATCGAACATTTTTTCCTTCTTGTCTAGGCAGGGAACAGGATTGACCGGGCCGCTCTCGGGCACGGTTTCGTCTTTCGCGTGTAGTTGCAAATGCCGGATAATGTTCGTCCGAACTTTAGTCGTATAAGGACATACAGCGCACTGAACTTCCCGATTGTAAATCGCCTGACGCGGTAATTGTTCTATCTCGTCGGGATTGAACGATAATTTTTCATCCGCGGATTTCTCGTTCTCCTGTTCCGCTCCAGACTTTGCACCTTTACGCTTCTTGGTTTTTCGTTCGGCAGATCCAAAGGGCTGTACAAATTACATATTATAAGAGAATTACATATAACGCACTCTCTAAAAAAAGATATTTATTTAAGAAGATATTACATTTTGTTGATGAGACAAACTTACAACTGCTTGCACGATGAAGAGACCGTCGACTGATGGATTTGTTGGGTCTGCAGGCACCAATTTCGTATTGTTCAATTTGTGTTTTGTCCTCATATGAGCCGTAGCCTGATATGAAACCGAGTATCTCAGCTTACACAACGAACATCCGAAACGTTTTAAACCGTGACTCTTCATGTGTTCTAGGAACAAGCCAATTTTAGGTAAACGTTTCTTTTGCGGACAATGCGGACAAAATAAATATTTGCTAGACTGCTCGAAAGTGCACGTCTTCATGTGCGCCTTCAACAACATCGCATTTGATGCCGCGAAATTGCACTCTAGGTAACCGCATTTATACAAATCGAGTCCGGCACGGCCGGTATTTTTGATGTCATCCAAAGTTAAAGGTTTCTCTGATTGAGCAGCCGCATTAGTAGTACGTGTCTCTTCGGATGTGCATTTCTTTTCGATAGGATCCTTAGATAAAATCTGCTCTTTATTATCAGCTTTTGTTTCAGATAATACTGGCTTTATTGTCTGCTTTGCATCATCTTTCACATCTCTCTGTGCGGCTTTTTCCTCGCTCTCCAAGATCTCGATATCACTATCTTCAATCTTGTCTTTGAAGAACGATACGTTGCCAGAATTAGATGTGAAATTCTTCAAAAATTCCACATTATCGAGAAGATTTGTATTTACGAACTCGTCATTACTATTAAATTCATTAGAGAATTCTAATGGATCCACCGCGTTAGAATCATTCAAGGACGTCAGTAATTCCAATTCCGGTTCCTGAAGAATCTGATTTATAGCATAATCACTTAATTTTTCCGTCTCCGATTGCAGGAACAGCTTCTGCTCACTTTGTGGATGCTTTTCAGCAACGTTTTTGCTTGTTTTTTCATCAGTATTAATAGGCGGGTCTATTGGTTGTTTTGCTGAGATATTGGGAACGTTGGCATTTGCTTTCTCATCTTTAACTTCTCCGACAAAGTTTGATGCCAAACTATTTGATAGATCACGTCGATCTTGATTCGAAACAATATTTACATTTAGCGAAACTGTAGAAGTTTTATCGTTTGTTGTGTCCTTTTTAGTTGTCGTATTCTTTTTGGAATCGTCAACACTTAAATTAACATTTTCCTCCAACTTGACTAAATTTCGCAAAATAAGTTGTTTAATGACGTCCACATTGCGTGATGGCTGAAAGTTAATTGCAATTGTATGTACGCGTAACATAAAATAAGATTATTTCTTGAAATACTTATCATATATATTTATTTATATATCATATCATATATATTTATTTAAGATAAAATTTCATAAAATTTTTGAGAATATCCTATATTTATGAATGTGTATGTGTGTAAAGTATATGTGTATAAGTTAGATATTAAATAAATATGTATAGATAAACACATATTCTAATAATCTCTAATGATGAACAAAAACATTTAATATTGAAATGATTTTGATACAGTGGTAATGTCGTGTACAACTTAAACATTATCAATTATAATAATTATACCATTGGAGGAAGCGAACGCTCCAAAGTCTGAGGCAATCGATCACAGTGAGAAAAACTTAAATGCTGAAGCATTTCATCTTGAGTTTCAGTACCGTGTAAACAATATATACATTGATACTTGGAATATCCATGGGTCTTATAGTGCTATAAATGTTATAATAAGATGAATAAATATGTATTTTTTCTTTTTTTCTGATAATATAGATAGATAATATAAGATACTTACAGACATAAGAATTTCTATTGTTGCATATGTGCTATTACATAAATGACATTTATACATAAATTGATAAGACCAATGTTTCGTCCTCAAATGCATCATAAATGTATCATATACGTAAAAGATTTTATTACAATCTAAAAGCAATCAATAAATATTTTAATATCATGCGCTATATACAATGTATGCTAACACATTAATAACATATTAATTTAGTCAAGCTAAATGAAGAAAATTAAAATTAATTAATTTAAGTGTTAATTTAAGTGTTTAAGTGACGATTCCAAAAAGAATACAACAACTAGAAAGGACACAACAAACGATAAAACCTCTACAGTTTCGCTAAATGTAATTAATAACATATTAATATGTTATGCATATATTAATATGCTAATCTATTAATATGTTTATAATACACTACATTATGATCTATCATTATTACTCACCATGTTTACACACGAAAGGTTTCATATAAGTATTACGATGAATGTCTTCTTGCATCGGTATCGACTTATGATTCGTGCCTAATAAGCAGTAAAACACAGTGCCGGGATGATTGGCCGCCTGAAAAATTATATCAATCATCCAAATTATTTCTTTTGGCATATAACTACAATATGCAAAAATCATTACCTGATGTTGCTGCACGTAGGACGGTATAATGGCTCGATAAAAGCAATAACTGCATTGATACTGGCAGTGAGCATGTTTCTCCCACAGATGATACTTCATGTTGCGCCAATCCTTTGGAAATGCTTGACAATAGGCACATTTCTTATAGTCATGCGGCGCCGGGCTATTCTTCTTGTCAGCCTCTTCACAATGTTTATTATAGTGCTCATGGTACGATTCGATGGAATCGGTTGTAAAAGAACAATCCTGACCCATGCATTTGTAGAAGTGAACCAGTTTTGGCTCTGTCAGCATCGCCGTATACGCTTCTACAGATTTCAGCTTGATCACGAAGGATGGCAGCGATGTTTCCTCCTTAGAATTGATCATTACAGGTGCACCTACTAGCTTGAGTTTTCTCGACCTATTATTTGAAGTTGATGGACCTGCCGACGAAATGATCACCGATTTCTTCAAAACTACGGTAAAAAATTCAGATGAATACAAATAGATTTCCGGTTGAGATGGATATTAAAAAATTCTTGGCCAAAAATACCTTGCATGTTCGTATTCATTACCAACTGTGGTGGAATAGTCTTCTTCAATATCAGAGGTTGATGATTAGATTTTCTCAAGACAGATATCTCTTTGTTCTTTATAGGAGATCTCTCCACCGCCTTTCTAATATCACGTACCTGAAAACAATGAAATGAAAAAAACGTATAATAACGATAACGATAACAAAAATTAAACAAATTAAATTTCGTCAAGTAATAAAAAAATAATTATGGTACTTTCACATACCGTAAGATTTTCACTTTTGTTGCGGTTGGATTTTGGTGCGAGGCTGATCACATTTTCAATCTTCAAAAACGAACATCCTTCTTCCGTATCCGTTTGCGATGCATCTATCGCACTATCCGATTGAGCTCCATCTACCAATTAGATAATATATATTTTCCTATTAATTATTATTATTAATATACACATACACATGTCTTTTTTTGTTACTCTGTGTGTGTGTGTATGTGTGTGTCACTTTCTTGCATTTCGCTTCATTAACATATACAGCTGCCTGGAATGTTATTGCAATAGATTTTAATTGTTTCAATTCACCAACCTTCCCGTTCCTTATCCGGAAACGTCGGCATAGACAACATGTCGCCGCTCAGTCGTCTGAATCTGATAAAATTTTTAGGGGGACTGGCGTTTTTGTATGATGCCGGTTTCAGAGCTTCCCTCGCCATGCATTTATCCTTTTTTGTCTCTTTAGCAAACGCTTGACGCTGGCGATCGGCACGACGTCCGGCGGTTTCGGGATCAAGGACACTTGGTCGACAGGTTCGCTCTTGATCTGAATGTTGGACGTCGGCTCGGGCACTGGTTCCAGAGGTTTGACATTCTGAAGCTGCGCGGCCAGCCTCTGTATCGTTGTCAGCATCGGGACGCGCGACGACGATGACGTCATACTCGACGTCTCCTTCAGGATCATATTGACGTCGGTCGGCTCGGCGTCCGATTGTTCGCTGCTGGACTCCGTTTCGAAGATTGGCGCCGAGTGTTCGTTGTCGCTATTCTCGCCGTCGCTCTCTTCGTTGTCCTTGCGCGAATCTATGGTCGCAAGAGGGTCCCGGATCTTTACGTCCGCCTTATCGTTCTCTCCCTCGTTCGTCACTTCCTGCGATTTATCAGCGGCCAATTGTTTCCCCATAACGGAGGAGTCCTCTTGACTACTCGGCTGACTCAGAGGATCCTCTTTAATGATCGTTTCCTCGACCTTCAGAGATTCCGCGGGTAAATTCTCAAGGGGTAACGAAGAATTTTCCCTCGAATTTTCTGGAACGTTCGCTTGTGCATTATTGCATTCCGGAACTGGGCTGACGACCGCGTCCGTGCGCATCTTGTCCTGCAGCTTGTCGATTATGGACAGACCCGGTTTGGAAAAGTTCTTCAGCAGAATACCGATATCATTGGCGATCTCTTGCATCGTCTTCTGCCGCTCCCGTTGGATCTCAATCTCCTTGTCTTCCAATTCAGGCGGGCAAACAAACGCGCTGAGATTAGGCCCGCTCGACGGCCCTTCCGGTTCTCCTTGAGACAGTTTCGATCTTTCCTCGATCTCTTCGTCCTTGACTTGAATGTTCTCGAATGTTTTCGGCTCATGCGGAGTACCCTCCCCGATGTTATCATCGTTGGGCTCCTCCAGTGGAGGACTCCTCGAGGTATCGATCAACGGCACGTTCTTGCACTCGACAGACTCAAATTCGGAAATCTGCGGCTTTGCCTCCACGACGAATGGCTCCTCCGCATTTCCGACTTTCGCCGATTCGCGTGGTTGCTCCGCACTCTTATCCGCATCGCGCATTTCGACGGTTACCGCTGACATATTGATCTTAACGATCTCGATATTCGCCTGCTCCCGATGCCAAAAGGCAACGTGGGCCTCCACATTTTGCCGCTTCAGCTGCACAAAGTTGCAAGTACGGCATAGATAGCCGTAGACCCCATTTTCTTTCGGTATTATATCCTCGGATGCGGATTCGTTGAACGATTTGTCCCTGCGGCACACCTTATAATAATGCGTCTTCATGGACGCCTTGGCCACCGCTTGGTAAGAGCAATTGTTGCAGTGGAACCTATATTCGCCCGTGTGCGTGGTGCAGTGTTCGTAGAACGCCTCCAGCGCCACATCTGCCGCACCTTCTGTGACAAAACAGCAGAACCGGCAGCAGAATTTGCACATCTGGCTCGCGCCCGTCGCGGAGGCGCGCTCGGCGTCCGCGACCGCAGCCTCCGCGTCCGTCCACCTGAGACGCGAGATCAGTATCTCCTTTTCGGGATGATTAACCTTGTAATGATGAACAATGTTCTTGCCCGTGAAGAAGCACAACAAACATTTGTACTTGTCCGGGCCAACCCAGGCGTAGTCTATCAAATGTTTGGAGTCTATCCTACGGAAGAGATCCGTCATTAGCTGATCGTAAATAATTTTTGGCGATTCCTTGGAAAATCTGTTCGCCACCGTGGTGGCGTGCGTCGCGGTAGGAGCACCAACGTTCCTCTCACTTTCCGCTTCTATCTCCATTTTTACGGTCGACTTATTTTCCTCGATCGAAAGTAACGAATCGTCGAGCAGATCCTTGAGTGTTGTATTCAAGAGGTCGTCCGACACCGTTGAATTATTTAATTCCTCTTTAACGTCTACATTAAAGCTGTCCGCACTTATATTTACAAGCGGTTTAATTTCCTCGCATTTCACCGTAGAATCTAGATTCGCATTTACAGTACAGTTGTCCTGGGGAGCCACTTCAGAAATTTTCTCTTTCGCCGCCACGAGATTTTTATCTTTAGTTATCGATCGCTCACCTTCTGCGGTATCCGTCGAAACGTTCGCCTCGGCACTCGTTTCTTCGGTACTCGTTTTAGTAGCTTTGGAGGCCGAAGCGGCCTTCCTTTTCTTCTTCTTAGTGGTTACTATACCCATTTGCCAGCTGGACTTCTTTTTCTTCTTCTTCGGCAGCTTCTTCACGCCTGGCTCGATGGCTAGCGGATCATTCGCATCTTCGTCAAAGTCTATCTCGCTACCTTTGTCGGTCAACGACGTATTCCTTTCCGTCGGTACCGCCAGGCCCATTAGAATGTTGCTCAACAGGTCCTCCTTAGCGGTCGTCCTAGCAGCACCACCGATCGTTCTCTTTCTGGCAGTAGTGCCGCTCGACATAGAAATGTCCGATACTATACTCTCCTCGTCTGTTAATGACGTACCGTCCTCGCTCTTGTCATCGGTGAGCGCGAACGACTTCTTCGATTTCGAATTCCGTTTACCCACCCTCTTGGCATCTTTCGACCGTTTTGTTGACGCCGTAGTGTCTATCGAATCCTGATCAGATTGCTTGTCCGGTCGAAGGGAGATGTCCACCGCTGCGGCTAACTCGGACACATCGATACCAAAACTCTCGTCAGACGAGCTGTCGAACATCACTTTGGACGAATCTAACTTGGTGATGTCCGTCTTCTCTACGAGCACTCGTGGCTCCTTAACATATTTATCTATAATCCGTTTGGATCTACGTAGTGCGTCATTACTCTCCTCGCTGTGATCCACTTCTTGATTCGACGTACGATTGTCAACGTTGCTTAATCTCGTTCGCAGAGCCAGCGGTTGATCCTCCTCACTCTCGGAACTTGAAACGAACTCCTTGGAGCGTGAATTACGGGTCGTCCGTAGTTTGGCGTCCTTTCTGTTCGTCACTTTCGCTTTACTTGACTCTTCAACATTACGAGCTCTCAAACTCTTTCGCAACTTGTTCGCCGATTCATCTCTTTCAGTGTTCGGTTCTACGATCTTCTTTTCAGCCGTGTTCGACACTTCCTCCTTCTTGGAATTGATCGATGATGTACTCATCCCCGAGGGTGACTGACCTTCCTTCGACATACGGCACATTCGATAACCCGTCGCTGTCATTACGCTTTCGCTAATGAACATTTCTCTGATATCCTCTTGCAACATTTCTAGAGAATTTCGTCTCTTCGTTTTTGCCTTTGGCTTATCACTCGAACCTTCATCGGCTTGGCCACTTGTAGGGTCAGAAGAAACAAATTCCGCGCGATCTGTCCGATTCTTATCTTGATCTTTATCTAATTCTGCATTACTCGTATCTTTTGACACCTCTACAGAATTTTGATCAACCTTATCCTGTTTATCTTCAGTTTGTTCGTTTTCTTTATCGCTATCTTTTATGCTACTTATTCGTTTTTTGTTTTCTAACGCCTTTTCACTACTATCTCCTAATCGATCATTCTTTTTATCATTCTTCTCTAAATGTAGACCCTTATTCTTTTTATTATCATTTGCTTGAATGCGTCCTTCGCCATGAGTTTTTAACGAGCCATCATTTTTCTTTCTAATTATATTTTTAGTTTGTTCTTCGTTTTTATTACCAGACGTTATTGCCTCGAGTTTTTCTTTCGAACTTTTAGGGTCTGTGGAGGATGCGGAAAGCGGCTCTCTCTCGTCACTCACATCAATGTTCGTATTTAAGATACTGAGTCTCTCAGCAAGACATTCATCGTCTGAACTATCCGATACGATTACTCGCCTCTTTTTCTTGGTTTTAATCTTTTTCGTTTCAACCGTCTCATCCTTGTCCGAACTGCTGTCGGATTCGGATTCGATGATCTTCTTGATTTTCTTGAACTTTTCCGCCTTCAATCCCTTCCCGAGTTGTTGTAACAATTTCGCTTGTTCGACCAACATTTTGCCCTCACCAGACTCGAATGACTTCCTGACGAACGCCTGGATCAATTCCTGTGTGTTCACTTCTTCCTTGGACTTTGACCCATCGACTTTCGATTCGTCCCTCTTACTCTTCTCCGCGATATCATTTAATTTAAGATTATTCGTTGCCGAGTCTACTTCGTCATTTTTGTTAGTTTTCTCGATGTGAGATGACGAGAGAATCTCTCCTTCCCTTTCATCATTTTGTATCAAATTCTCCACTATGGGATTACTGTCGCTACTACTGCTCACCTCGCCACTCGCAATGTTCTTGTTCGTATTCTTAGAAGAAAATTTGTTGCTCTTCTTGCTATTACTCTTTGGACGCGGCGATTTGAACGGAACGCTTTCAACTTCCTTCGCCTCGTTAGCTTTGCGGATCGATTGTGGCGGTTCCGGTCGCTTAATTTTAGGAATTTTGAACTTCTGCAGACCAGAATTATGGCTGGCTTTCGTGTCAATCACGCCATAAAGACTCTCTAATGGCGATTGCATCCTGTCTTTCGGCAGTTTATCTCTCTCCTTTTTCTCTTCCTTTTCAGAAGATTTCTGCGACTTTGGTTTTCCCTTCGAGATTGCCTTTGTAGCCGATGTTACCGGACGTTTTCTAGGATCCCTCTCATTGTGAACAGTATCTTTGGTTTTGACTGATGTATTTACGTGTTTATCTTTGGCAAGACGCGGATCCCTAACGGAAGCGCTGGTCTCTTTGGCCTGATTCGCGTTATGTTCCGTACGAACCCGCGGATCTCGCGGATTAGAAAAACGATTAATCGGACGCCCGTCACGATTGAAACCAGGCCTCACTTCCGTCCTATTTCGATCGTAGTACCCTCCTTCCCTTCCCTGAGTTCTATTAGATCTATCCCTATCACGCGTACCCCAAGGGCAAGGAGTGTTGGGTCGCGGATAGGCAGTTCCCGTGGAATTCTCCACGACCTGAATTCCACAGGGAATCACATTTTCGTAAGGAGTCTCGTTTACTCTGGTGGGACCTTCCCAAGTAGGTCTCACATGTGGATATTCTGTGGGTCTGCCAGGAAAACCTGGATCGTAAGATCCTTGACCCATCTGAAAGCCTCTGTATTGTGATGAGAATCCAGGAGGCATCAAGGGAGGAATATCCTCTCGAATATTTTCCGGTCTCACCCCGTGATTCATCTCCTGCGGTCGTACAACAGGATTAATCAACGGTCTAGGACCGGCAGGTAGATTCGCTGGAAACTGATTTGGCCTAAACTGTGACTCTATTGGATGTTGAAAGGAATGCTGGATGGGTTGCAGAGGTGGATTAGGTATTCCGCCGTAAGCCGAGGGTGTCCATTGGTTGTTGCCGAATTGATGTTGATGATCGCCCGTGGCCGCAGTAGAGGCCCAATGCATTTGATTCATGTGCATATTATAGTAGTCGGTGTTATCTATCACAAACTCATTGTCTCTAGGCAGAGTTACATCCTTCCGCGCGTCCGATGGTGCACTCGGACGTCTCTGATACAATGGAACATTTCTCTCATCTGGTTTGTTTGCGGCATTATGAAAAACTGGCATCTGAGATGACATTTCTTCAGAAATAGCGGAACTGGTAACCGACTTATCTTTCTCGTGAACTTGAGGGTCACGTTGACGCGGATGCCTCTCATAATTATCCGCGTAACGCGGTTCTTGAACTCTAGAACCCAAAAAAAGTGCTTGCGATACCGATCGAGGATCGTTTGATTGATGTGGCGGCCCTTTGATTTCACTCGATTTCACAGGTGAAATTGACATATTTGTCAAATTTTTCCTAACGGTAATTCTGTCTCTATCTGACGGAAAATTCTTCGATTTATCCTTATCCGTCTCCTTTTGCTTCGCGGCATTGTTACCACCTTTATCGCTTTTCTCGCCATCACCTTCATTCAACAGTTCTGCGAGATCTTCCATAGATAATGGAGGCTCGTGCGATAAAGGCGGCGGCGAGAATAAAAGCGGTATAGACGGTTGTGACTTTGACGGCGATTTCGCATTATGATTGTCTTTCGATCTGGGCGATGTGACTGTAGGGTTCGCATACAATATTTCGGGATCGGGAGAATTAAGTCTCACTTCGGGGACATTCAGGGGTGATTCTGGTCTGGAGGAACTGGCGACCATTATGTCCAAATTCAACTTATTCTTTTCCAAAACCGAAGACAATCGCCTTGAACCACCGAGAGAAGGCACCGGGACAGTCGGTATATTCTGCGAGTCCAACGCATAGTTCCTGCTATCGTTGATTTTTTGCGGTAGATTGCTACTGACCAATTTTGCAGCGGTCGCTACATCATGGCTGGTAACGAAAGATTGCCGATCTCCTCTGTTTCTCGAATTATGCCTTTCCGATTCTTCTAACATGTCCCATTCAGTGAATGAGGTGTCTTCCGAATTAGAATCTGATGACGACGAGATAGTTATAGTTTTTGTACTATCCGTAAGCGTAATGATCGGTATTATTTTGGAACGATGCTTTTGTCTTCTGTCTTTATTCCGTTCTAGGTCATTGCGCTCCGTAGGAATTATTATAGGTACAATTTGGCAATCAGGACTGGATGATCTAGTGGTATCTGGACTTTCTGGCGTCTCAATTTTTTTATTCTTTTCCGTATCTTGCGATTGTGATTGCGATGACTCTGCTTCTTTGCAATCCGCATTCTTCGAACTGAAGATAAAACATAAAAACTCACTTTTTTTAATATTTATCGCAAATTTTAAGAACTGTTGTTTATGATAATAAGTTATATAATTTTAATGTATGTGCATTACAATTATTTGCAACTATTTTTTCGCAACTTCTTTAAAATATCAATGTACATGATTACTTACGTTGAAGGCTGTGATGTAATGCCATAATTTTGCTTACTTGGCAATTGTAAACCAGGTGTATTTCCCTGAAACTCGTGTCGAATTAGAATAATTAACATACAAAAATCAAACATGCACTACCAAAGCCTGAAAACACTTAAAAGAAGCAACAAAAACAGTATTACAAATATAAAGAACCAAGGATCAAATAAGCGGCTACTATAAGAGGTCAAGAGAGAAAGAGCAATATGTTTATATTACATCTATGCATGATGCTTTTAAAAATGTGTTGTGTGAAACAATGTGCAAAGCTAAATCCTGGGTTCTTTTTTATATTGGAACATAAATAGGTATAGTTGTTACACTGAAACCTTTAGATATGTAAATTTTCATAACGAGAACACACAATCCTGAAGATTTTATTTCCGTTATAAGATGAAAGATAAAATATGGAGTTATTTTAATATTAAATCATTCAACATTATACTAAAAATATATATTATTTCATTATGTTTTACATCTTTCATCAAAAATACGAAATATGTATACTCAGAACAATCATTTAATTATATAATCATTTCTTCAAACCCATGCATGTATACAGTTACATAAAGTTTAATAATTATTTTAAATTTAAAATAGATTTTTAAAGTATAATTTCAATAAATATTTCAATTTTTTCTTAACAAAATTATCTTAACTATTTAAGGAAACAATTTCTTATAATAATTGTTTTTGAGCAATATATACATATATATATATATATATATATATATATATATATATATATATATATATATATGACATGTGCACAAAAAAATGTGTAACAATAAAAATAACATAATAACAATATATACGAAAACACAAAATATGAATAGAATGTCCTAATCTTTTCTTTATCAAGAATTAAAGACGAGAAATATACATTAAGCAAAATTTCATTTAAAATTTTTTAGGACACTCTAATTTGCTTATTCAACAACAAAGACATCGACAAGAATCAGTTTTCAGTGTATGTATTCAAACAATGTATCAGCATATCTACCTTTTCTACCCTATTGTATAGTTTCTGCAAAACGTCCTCACACCGCTGCAGTGTCTCAATCTTTAGCCTATTTCATCAATAATATTCTAGTTAGTAATTCTTTATACAGTACTTTTTAACATTAAAAATAACATAAATTCACAAAAAAATATTGATATGAAAAAACATAAATTATAAATTGCACAAATGAAATTTATATGCTTGCTTATATATACTTTACTTACTTTACTT